CGTAATTAGGTTTAATGTCTGTGATGTCACATTTTTAGTGTCAATGAAAACTTTCTAATCTAGTTTTTTCGTTAGAAGATGGACCGGATTTTTGGTTTGATGAGGAAGTGACGTCAGAAAAATGTATAAATGTATGTATATTTTATAGAGAGGTGTGCTGCTATTGTGGTGTCAGAATAAAATTTCATCAAACGCTGTCGTGTCTACAGACAAGCAAGCAAAAGTTGAACACGCAAAAGTCTGCAAAAATAAATTGGTTTTTATTCACGTTATTTTGAAGTGGATAGTTAGGTCTGACGCTGGTTATGTACCATATATTAAAATGTCTAGAAACAGAAAAAAACAATTCTGATTGCCAATCACAAGCAACAAAACGTATGCAACAAAAGCGACACAGTGATACTTCACAAGAAAGGGGAATACGCCTTAACAGCCAAATAAAAAAAGAAGCTGCACATCGTCAACCCGAGACTGAGCGCAAGAAATATTTAGAACACGAGACCTTCATTTGATCCTTTCTGTTTAAAAATAGCTAAACGTCGGCCCTCTGTTCAGGTCTAAAACAACATATTCAACGATTGAACAAGTTACAATAGTATAAAATGTTTAAAAAATATTGAGTGAATTACATATTTCGTGTCCTATATAGATCCAAAAGTTACCATTTAAGCTCGTACTGTGTAGAATTATTCTATAATAGTCACAGCCACTGGAACTAGTGATCTGGATGAAGTAGAAATGGTTTCTAAGTCAAAGATGTTGGTACTGAATAGCAAGATTAAAGATGTCGATGTTGTAAGTGTAGAACACAGATGTTGATACTGAATAGCAAGATTAAAGATGTCGATGTTGTAAGAGGAGAACAAAGATGTTGGTATTGAATAGCAAGATTAAAGATGTCGATGATATAAGTGGAGAAGAAAGATTACTGTACTGTATAGATAAAAAAAAACAATACTGATGATGTTTTAGAAGGAAATCTAAAATAATGGTACTGCATTGGTAGAGCAAAGATGAAGGTGATATAATGGAACAGTAGATATCGTAATGTTGCCTTTTCAGTTATTATCTTCTGTCGAGATTTCAACGACTAATATATTTTATGTTAATGTAAATGAAACATGTTTGAAATATTCATTGCTCACGTTCAGAAGATTACGGCACATTTATTCATGTTATAAAAAAAACATTTTAATCTCTTAGTTTTGGCATAGCAGTGACGCACTGGAGTATACAACACAGCCTGGCAGCTACCATAATCACTTACGGAGTGGTTGATATCTTAGGTTATGTCTGTTGCTATGGTCACCCCCTAGTCACAACTATAGAGGTGAGTACAACTGCTTTGAAAAGATCTCATTATAGAAATATACTGAAGAAAAAAAATGTTTTTGAGTCGTTTTTTTTTCTCAAATGTGCAATGTAGTTTTTTTTTTTAGTTGTTGAAATAAAATAGTTACATGACACTTTTAATCCATTGGAAAGTAAAAACTATAGATTTAAGACGCATGTCCTCCCGTCAGTGATACAAGAAGAATAACAAATAGACATTTGTAGAAGTACAGTTGAATTCAAAGACCAAGTAAGGTTTCGACAGAATGAAAGACTTCGATAATTATGGATTAAAAGGTAGTTTAGATTTGGGACGTTGATATTTATATATCAATACATATAATTTCAAGATTAACTCTGACGCAGCGTAACATCACAGCGAGAACAGTTTTCCATATTTATCTATATACTGAAAGTTTATTTTTCTTTTCTTCTAATCGTTAGTATAATTCGTGTTCATCTATGGTATATTGGTTGTGATTGATGATACAAATGCC